AGGCCTCCTGGTGGGCAAAGCAGGTAGTGCAGGTGGGCTGGCAGAACTTTAACCACTGAAAGTCTCATGAAATAACGCCGTGTGTCTGCTGCAGGTATCCGTTACAGCACAGAGGTGTCTGTGGACGAGGTGAAAGCTCTGGCCTCGCTGATGACCTACAAATGTGCCGTCGTAGGTGAGAGCACGCTGAACCCCGTCTGCTGTGTTTGAGTGACTCTGCCGCTTGTTGTCTTGTGAACTAAAGTGACTTTGTTTCCAGATGTGCCTTTTGGTGGAGCCAAAGCCGGCGTGAAGATCAACCCGAAGAACTACTCGGTAAGTGTGACGCTTCCACGCCAGCCGGCCCTCCTCGGTGACCCTTGTGGTTTTATTTCTTGATCAGCGCTCGGCCTCAAACTAAACTAAATATTGGGGCGATTGTGTTGCCATGGAAACCTAACGTCTTGTGGTAAGTGAACGAAGCGCGAGTGTGCGAGTTTCCCACGATGCTGCAGTCGGCGCCGCTCATCAGCTTGTTTGTAATGGCTCCACGACTGTAGACGGAGCAGCCGTCTGCTGTTTTACAGTAAACTTTCCGACCTGAGCGGAAACGCTGAGCCATCAGCTGGCAGAGAGACGCCGGGATTCACTCTGAAACGTGATGACTCGTGACTTTCTCCCCACATTGATTTCAGGGCCCTCTGTCACCCCCTCCCTCTCTAAATGTTTGCTCGACCTTCGGTCTTTGCTGCTTTCTCTGCTGGAAAACATCGATCAGCTGACACGAGCATATCTGGGAGGACTGCTGACCTCTGACCTCTTGATATGAGAGAAATACAGGAAGTGGACAGACAGACATGATGAAATGTTAAAAGTAGAGCTGTTGTCCTGCTGAGTGCTAGGTCAGACTTGCAGGAGTGAGTTTCAACCTGCGGGCGTGAAAGTCGTCGCTGCAGAGGAAGAGGGTGCGTTTGATTTCTACCACAAGAAAAAACACACGAGTTCGTTTTGCTTATCGTGTTTTCTTCTTTGTTTAAAGACAGAATGATCGTTTAAATAAAAATGAAAGCGCAGTTACAGGACGCCATATTTACTGTAACATACGGATGTTTGCATCGCTTCACTTTCATGGTTACATAAGAAATAAACTCCAGGATGCCCGAGGGCCTCTTAATGGTTCCTGCTGTTGTTCGCCTGAAGGTTGCTGGTTCAACCCCCCTGGAGACACGGATCCTGTGTCTGGTTTAAAACTGCCACTCGCGGCGACGACCAATCGTGACAAACCCGTGAGGAACCAGAACATCAGCAGAAGCTTCCTCGGGCTCATTTTCACTCAAACCCGCCGTGACCACAGCGCTCAGGGACCGCCTACAAAATGCCGCAATGGAAAAATAAAGTGGAGGATCACAAGAATCACGCCAAGCGTTTCCCTTTGATCACACTGCAACACGTAGCTTGTGGAAGTGGGGGCTTTCCTTCATGGTCCAGTTGCTGCTCTTTGGTTTCCCTCGTCAGACACAGAGCAGACAGATGTGGGCGTGCACTCGTGCTGTCCTATAAGTGCCTGCTGAGATTAACGGGGTCAGACTGGGGTGTGTCCTCCAGCCAGCAGCTGAAAGGTGAAATCAAAATAAAAATGTGTATTTTTTTAAATTGTTTTCAGGACGACGAGCTGGAGAAGATAACCCGAAGGTTTACCATCGAGCTCGCCAAGAAGGGCTTCATCGGTGAGTGATGTCACACAGCGATGTCACACCTGTCAGCTCCACTGAAGGTGGTGTGGCTCTCAGAGCAGCAGTTAGAGCAGCAGGTGGGCTGCAGAGTGGCTTAAATCTTACTGACAGGAAGTTCAGACAGCGTCAGCTGACGTGGGCTAATTTTCACTTCGCGTCCTCCCTGAACCGATGCGCTCTTGCAGGACCCGGCATCGACGTTCCTGCTCCGGATATGAGCACCGGGGAGCGCGAGATGTCCTGGATCGCCGACACCTTCGCCACCGTCATGGGACACACTGTGAGTACTGACCCAGCAAAAAAGACGTGACGTCCAAATGCGTATGA